TCATTGATGAAGCAGCTGAAGATAACTGGGCCCAGGACAATACTCTGAGGAACATCTGCAGAGATATCCTGGAGCTGAGATGACTGACCTCCAAAAACCACAACCATCTTCCTATGTTCCGGATATGACTCCAACCAGCTGAGAGTTTTCCCCAATTCCCATTGATTCCAGTTTTGCTAGGGCTCCTTGATGCCATATTCAGTTGAGTAAAGACTTGATTTCAAGGATTATCACACTCATTACTTTTGGAATTCAGCTCTTTCGTTCCTGTTGAACCAAAGCTATAATGAAGTCAGGAGCTGAAAGGCCCTGGTGGAACACAAAGTAGGGATCACTAAGCAGGATATTGCTGAGTAGGTGCTGCGTGATAGCACTGTTGATGCCAACTTTCATCACATATTGATGCTCAGGCATAGACTGATGGAGCGGTAATTGGCTGGGTTGGATTTGTCCTGTTTCTTGTGTACAGGACATGCCCAGGCAATTTTCCTCTGTCCTTAAATTGCTGTAATGTTACTTATCAGGCCAAGTCTGGATACTATCTAGGTCTTGCTGCAGATGAACCTGCACTATATCTGCATCAATATTCATGATTTAGATGAGGGAGGTAAATGTAATATCTCCAAGTTTGCATACAATACAAAGCTTGGTGGGAGGATAAACCGTGAGGAGGAGGCAGAGGTGCTTCAGTGTGATTTGGGCAATCTGAACAAGTGGGCAAATGCATGATAGATAAAGTATAATGTGGATAAATTTGAGGTTATTTAGTTTGGTAGCAAAATCAGGAAAGCAGATTATTTTCTGAATGGTGATAGATCAGAAAAGACAACAAGACCCAAGTGTCCTAGCACACCAGTCACTGAAAGTAAGAATGCAGGTGCAACAGGGGATGAAGAAAGCAAATGGCATGTTTGCTTTTGAAGCGAGAGGATTCGACTACAGGACAGGGATGTCTTGCTAAAATTGTACAGGGCCTTGGTGAGACAACACCTGGAGTATTGTGTGCAGTTTTAATCTCCTTATTGAAGGGAGGATGTTCTGGCCATTGGCAGAGTGCAAAGATTTACCAGACTGATGTATAAAGAGTAACTGGATTGGTTAGGATTATACTCACTGGAATTTAGAAGAACGAGGGGTCTCTCATAGAAACCCACAAAATTCCAATAGGACAAAACAGAATAAATGGAGGGTGGAGGTTCCTGATGACTGGGGAGTTCAGAACTAGGGGTCATAATTTAAAATATGGGTAGGCCATTTTTGGCTTGAGAAGAGGAGAAATTTCTTTACCCAGACAGTGGTGTGCTTGGGGAATTCTCTGCCACAGAAAGTGGTTGAGGCTTAAACATTGAATACTTTCAAGAAGGAATTAGATATAGTTCTTAGGGCTAGAGGGATCAAAGGCTATGGGGAGAAAGTAGGAATATGATACAGAGTTGAATGATAAGCCTATTTTCTATTTTTCTATGACACAAATTGCTTAAATATCCGAGGCACCACAAATGGTGCTAAACACTGTGCAACCATCAAGCAGCTGAAGATGGATAGGCATAGAACACTACCCAGATGAACTCGTGCAGTGCTGTCCTTGGACTGAGATGACAGACCTCCAACAACCATAATCATCTTCCTTGCCCATGTTTGACCTGATAGTGTGGCACGTGAGATCTGAGGTCAATGCTGACGAATTCCAGGGCAACTCCCTCCTGACTGTATACCACCGTGCTGTCACCTCTGGTGATTCTGTCTGCTGGTATGACAAGACATACCCAGGGATGGTGACATCTAGGACACAGTCTGTACGGTATGATTTAGTAAATATAACAATGTCAGACCACAGCTGTTTCCACTATATAGGTCAATGCTAGGTGGTCCACCTGGTTTCATTTCTTCAAGCCTCTGTAGCGGTATGATACAAATGAGTGGCTCACTAAATCAATTCAGAGGGCATTTAACAGTTCAGAGTTAGCCATATTGCTGTGTTTCTGGAGTCACATGTAGGCCAGACCAGGTAAGGATGGCAAACTTTCTTCTTTAGAGAACATTTGTGAACCAACTGAGCTTTCATGACAATGGTTTCATGGTCATCATTAAACTAGCTTTAATCCCAGATGTTTTAGTTGAATTTAAATTCCAACAGTTGCAGTGTTGGATTTGAATCCATGTTTAGAGCATTAGCCTGGGGCTCTGGATTACTCATTCACAGGTGGATATGTAGCAATGAAAGGAGTTTGAACTCAGCAAGTACATATTCCCATTTTATGCAGGATAAGGGCACAACAAAATTGAAACTATAAACAAGAAAACTCTTTGCCTTCAGAAGTATTTGCTCAGAGAGATTTTTCACATATTTGGCAGCATTAACTGTGCTGCCAAACCATCTCTGTTTAAGCAAGTTTATAGTACGATTGTATTTCAAATGGGTATTGTTTATGGTGAGATCATCTATTAAAGCAATATTGCAGCAAACACAGATCACGTCAAAGAATGAAAGAAATTTGTGCACTTCACACCAAGCATAGTTCAATATTATTCTGCATAAAATTACATTCAATTATAGGATTTTGTCTCATTTCAGCTCTATTGATATGTTAGAAATGAGCACATGTAAAAGCTTGGCTCTAATATACTTTCAGAGAAAATCAATAGACAGTTTGCTTGTTCTCAACTTAACTATGAGTCTAGCAAAGTTGTTGACACTCCTAATTTGTTCTTTGTTGTATCTTTGTCTTATTTATACGAATAATTACTTGGTGGTACAGAACTTAAACAGTACTAAAAATAAACTTGGAATCAAAATTTTCCATCCTGTACTGGTCAAGACTAAAACAGGAGAAACAACTTTAGAAAAGAAAGAACAATTTATACAGATTGAGAAGGGGGCGTTGATTTGTTGTGCAATGGTTTGAACAGCAGGACTGTTAGGTGTCTTAACCAATTATATTCCTAACCGTAACCCTATCACAGACTAGGAAAATCAATTCTGAATGATCAGGGCATTGGCATGGGAATATAGCAAGTACGTCTGTCTCCATAGCCCTATCCTCGTTGAAAATTGTGCAAAGTTTATACAGGGGTTTCAGGTGTGTGGGGCAAGGTTTAAAGGTGATGTATGAGGCAAGTTTTTTTACATAGAGGGTGGTGTGTGCCTGGAACTCGCTGCCGGGGGAGGTAGTGGAAGCAGATATGATAGTGACTTTTAAAGGGCGTCTTGACAAATACATGAATAGGATGAGAATAGAGGGATACGGTCCCTGGAAGGATAGGGGGTTTTAGTTGTGATGGGCAGCATGTCGGTGCAGGCTTGGAGGGCCCAAGGGCCTATTTCTGTGCTGTAATTTTCTTCGTTCTTTGTATATTCCACCTGCATGGTAGTGCTGTAGAACAGAGAGACCTAGGGGTTCAGGTACATAATTCTTTGAAGTTAGCATTCCGTGTAGACAGGGTGATTAAGAAGTTGTTTAGCACGCTTGCCTTCATTGCTCAGACCTTTGAGTATAAGAGTTGGGATGTCATGTTGAGGTTACACAGGACATTGATGAGGCCACTTCTGGAGTACCATGTCCAGTTCTGGTTGCCCTATTATAGGAAGGATATAATTAAGCTGGAGAGGGCTCAGAAAAGATTTACCAGGAAGAGGCTGGATAAACTGGAACTTCTTTCACTGGAGGGTAGGAGGTAGAGAGGTTTATAAAATCATGAGGGGCATAAGTAAGGTGAATGGCAGGTATCTTTTCCCTAGGGTGGGGGATTTGAAGACTGGGTGAGAATATTTTTTAAGATTTTAAAAAGACATGAGGGGCAATTCTTTTACATAGACAGTGATTCATGTGTGGAATGAACTTCCAGAGGAAGTTGTGGAAGTGGGTACAGTTACAATGTTTAAAAAAATATTTGGATAAGTAGATAAATAAGAAATGTTTGGAGGGATATGGGTCAAGCACAGGCAGGTGGGACTAGTTTGGTTTGGGATTATGTTCAGCATGGACTGGTTGGACCGAAGGGTCTGCTTCCGTGCTGTATGACACTATGATTCTAGTATGGTTGATTCAAATATTTCTTCATATTATTCATACTTCTAAATGTGACACTTGGCTATATGGATCAACGTTTGATCTATGACTCGTGATGGGTTATCTAATCTGAGCCAGATTGATGGTGGCCACTTTTACTCATACCAATGTCAGTGGGCTTGAGAAGGAGGAGGGAAACAAATTCAGTCAAGGCTCCTAATCATGGCCATTAACTACAGTCTCTGCTACAGTGTATATGTTTTTTGTCAATCATATCAAGCTTAACTGTGATAATTTGTGAAGGTTTACACAAAATTATGTCTTGGATAATGTACTGGTGAGGGAAGCAAACATGTCCCAGGCTGAATTGCTGTCTTCATTGAAATGATACTATATTGTGATACATGTATTAGAACATTAGGTATGAGGGATATGTAAAAGAACACAACACTTTTCCAAAAGCAAAATCATCAGAAAGCTGGGTGTGAGACAACCCTGTTGAATTAGCAGTCAACCTTTCACTCCTTGAAACAAACTCACACCTGGAAGAAAGCATTCTGGGTAATCACTCTCAACTGAATCTGCCTCAACCAGAGGCCATATGACCTCAAACAGGTCAAAACTAAATCAAATTGTGCATGTATATTCTGTTTATGCAAACATTTCGAAATGTCAATTACATCTGAAGTGATATACACATTACAATGTAAATCATTTATTATTCGCGCAAAGAAGCTCTATTGGTAATTTTAAAACACAAGGTAATCACACCAATAGCCATTATAGTCTGAAAAATATGCATCCATCTGTTTGCAGCTTCTTTTATAACTGTGACAGGGAACAAAGAGATCATACCTTCCATGAGCATAATTTGTGAATTGGCAATGAGTAATATTAGGTAACAGCAATAATATTTATTACAGAAGTTTCCAACTATTCATTGAAATTCATGCAAAGCAAGAGCAAATAATGATATTCAAATAATCTTACTTGTACACAAGAATATGTTTTTGTGGCGATTCAATGGAATAGTTCGGACAATAGAAGATGCTTTCTCATTTGAGAGAAACTTTTCTCCTGCAAATAAAGAAGGCAGCAATTACAATTAATAAGGAATGAAGGTGGTTATAACTGATAAACAAAAAATGATAAAGAGTAATTTAATAATTTCAAATTATACTGAAATTACCCTTCCAGTGTCAGCATTTGTATTTTCTTCCAAACATTTATTTCCCCCTTATCTTTCTTTTGAACTGCACAGCTGGAAGACCTCTTCTTCAGCCACAATATGCTGTAGGTTCACAAACTAGGCTCCCTTATCTTTATATTCTCCTCCGCAAGTAGTCAATGAATAAAGCAATTTATCGTGTGTAGAGACATTACTGGTAAGATGATTGAAAGGATGAGTTTTTTTGCACTATGATTATCTGAAAAAGATACAAATACTGTAGAATAGACCAACCCCATTAATTTCATAAAGAGTTATTTTAACTAACGTGAAATTAAATAAATAACTCGTTGAGGAGTTGTCTCAGAGGAAGATAATGTAGCTTCTCATTCTGGGCCAGGTTATGAGAAATATGTTCTTCCTGCAGGAGACTGCCTTCCACATTTACGCAGATGTAGCACCAGCACAGCACCTATCTCTTTCAATTTAGTTGATAAAGAGCTATTTAAAATGCTAGTCATGGTGACCAGTTCATCCGAAATGTTAATCTAGATTTTTCTTGTAGATGTTATCCCAACTGCTGTGTTTTCAGTCTCCACTGTTGGCATTTTCAGACTTGTTGCACTACATTTATTCTATGTATATTAAAAGGAGACATTGGAGGTTAGTGATTATTCTGTGACTGCCCGAAACACATTAAATTTGATTCAAAACAACGTTACATCTGCGGATTATTCACTACTCGCATAAAAAATTCAGTGTTTTTCTTCTTTTAAATTAAACTGTCCAAACAATTCCTGGTTATTTTAATAGATTGAGTTTCTCTATTAAAAAAAGCTATTTTGAACATGCACCGTTTTAAACATATTTCAGTATAACAAAAATACAAACTTGTTTACTGACGGCTCAAACTGAATTCTTGCAAATATGCTGGTCGAAGATATTAATTTCTTAACTATATGTAATTGTGACAGGCCGTCCAGCAACGTGCATGTGGACACTTCTGAGGATCCAGAGCCGCGCCTACCTCGAAAGTCCTCTTCTTGTCAATGGTGCCACTTTTTCTTAGAAATATAAACTGTACGACAGGGAGTTTTTAAACCTCACAACATGTCTACTATTTCGAGAATTTATTGTTGAGCCATTTCAGAAATTTCCAAACGTTAAGAATCGTGACAATGAATTAGAATATGTTATATAAAACTATTTGTTTTATGATCGTGAGAATAAACAAAACTTAGTTATTTAAAGGATGATATGCTCACCACCACCCTGCTCAGTAGCTGTCAGTTCCCAACCCTTTCAAGTTCCGTCACACGATTAATTAACAAACCCTTTTGTTTTCGGGAGTAACATGAACTAAATTAAGAGCAACAGCTCTACAGCATAATTCAGCTTTAAAACTGCTTCTAGTCGGCACTCCACAAACACAGCTGCGCTCCGGCTATTTATTCTTCTCATTAATATAATTTCGTTCATCCCTGACGCAAATCAGATTTTTTTTGCCCCCCTTTAAAACCTTTCACAAACGTTAAATACACATAGCGGAGCGATCTCTGTCGGGATGGCAGCAAGGTGTACGAATTCGATAAGACACAAGAATCAGATTCGAACAGCGGCTATCCCTGTTCCGTGTGTCGTTGGCTCCAACATTCACTGCAAAACAATTCGCTGACATTTTGTTTTGCAAAATGTTGCAAACTTGTTTTGCAATAACAAACACAATCAAAGCAAACACGAGAGACATGCGCACAGGCGGATCTATCAGAGCTGTACACTGCGGTCCTTTCAGCTTCATACGATCCAGCAAGGCTAGCTCCAGCATGTTTCTCTCTAAGGTTCACACTTTTACCATTAGCTCAGCCGTTTCTTTTAATGAAAAGGGTATCATCACTCCGCTCTGTGCTCACCAACCTCGCAAGTTACCCGATGGCTCCTGGTTGTAAAAGGTGATAACTTCAGCTAATCGCCCTCCACACTGAACCGTCAGTGCGGCTCGTACCTGGCCTCTTTGGTCATTTCTACAGATTACGATTTTAACAGTAACACGAACCGAGCAGAGAAGACAAGGTGAATCTATTCATGTTCTGCATCATCGTATCAATCGCTACAATCAAGCAATTCAACAAACCGAGAGGGGAGGCTCCCATTAAGTAGTTTTAAAAAATCAATTTGCCGTCTGTAACTTCGCCGCTGTTCTATTTTTAATCTATCGGTGCAGCGAGCGCATCCCTGCCCCACCCCCATTTCGTGAAGCGCGCAGAACAGTTGCCGGGTCTCGACTGCCTGAATGGTCGCATTTCTACATCACAGACCGCGCTCTCAAAACAGTGATTCTCCACAGAAGTACATTCGGTTGGAGTCCTAAATATATTGATGCGATTGAATTTAAAGAAACAAGCAGATGTAACTTTACTGAAACGACATTTTCATTGATTGAACGGTTTTTTTTGTTAATTATGCAATTTTGGAGAAGTACTGAGCACTCGGTGTTCTTTAGATGTAACCCGAAAACGTAACAAGTAGTCGGCAAAGGACCACAGGCATCACTTAACAACAACAAGTCAAAATACAGAAGGGAGATGGAGGGCTTGGTGACTTGGTGCAAAGAAAACAATCAGCAAAACTAAAGAACTGATCATCAACTTCGGAAAGGAAGGAGGAGAACACCCCATGGACATCAACAGAACTGAGGTTGAGAGGGTGGAGAGCATCAAGTTCCTCAGAGTGACTATAACCGACAACCTGTCTTGGACTTCCCACATAAATGCAACAGTCAAGAAGGCACAACAATGCCTCTTCTTCCTCAGGTGGCTCAGGAAATTTGGCATGTCAATAGAGACCCTCACCAACTTCTACAAATGCACCATTGAAAGCATACTGTCTCGGTGTATAATGGCCTGGTATGGTAACAGCTCTGCCCAGGACCATAAGAGACAACAGAAGGTGGTGTGCACAGCCCAGACCATTACGGAAGCCAACCTTCCATCCATGGACTCTACTTACACGGCTTACTGACGCAGAAAGGCGGCCAACATCATCAAAGACCCATCGCACCCTGGTAATGAGCTCCCACAACCTCTTCCATCAGGCAGAAGATATAGAAGCCTGAACACATGCACAAGCAGGTTCAGGAACAGCTTCTATCTGGCTGTTATCAGACTATTGAATGAACTGTATCCTCAAATAATGTAACTTGTAATGTAACCTATATGCCTCTAAGTCTTTTTGATCTGCACATCCTTCTGTTGCTGTGATCTGCCTGTATCGCTTGTAAACAAAGCTTTTCACTGTACTTCGGTACACGTAACAATAAAATCAATCAATCAATCAGATGAGACAAATTGTTATATAACTTGAAGGGCACAATTTTAGAGGGATATGGGCCAAATGCAGGCAAATGGGATGAGTTCAGTTCAGGAAACCTGGTCGGTATAAATGAGCTGGGCCGAAGGGCCTGTTTCCCTGCTGTACCTATGCCACATAAAGTGTAAGGAAAGGTGAGATGCCAATCTTCCATAAACTACTACAGCCCTTAGACAAATTGAACTTTTGATATTGGTTTCATCTAATCAACCGAGTGAACCATTCCTCCCCCTACTGCATTGCCTGCTGTTTATTGCTCATTTTAATGTGTGTTAAAATTGTACTTTTAATGTACAAAAATGTCCCAGAGACTTAATGTCCCAGGTACATATTCACAAAAGAAATTGTTGTTAGGATGGGTGACCAGAAGTATGGTCAAAATGTAGGATTTAAAACAGATTAGAGATCAGAAGGGTTTGAGAAAGGAATTCAAGAGAGATAGTGAGGTTTGCCAAAGGAATTTCAGGCTCAAGGTCCATGGTTCTTGAAAGCTTTGCCATTAATGCTACAACAGCAGGAAAAGCACAAAATGCTAGGGCAGAGGGTACACGGCTAGATATAGTATTGGCAGTTGTAACATAGATGAGGCTATTGTGAACATGTAAACAAGGATCATGACTTTAAAACTAAACAGTTGAAGGTGGAGTGGGAGTATCTGTAGAATAGTCTTTCAAAAAAAAGTTCAGACAGAAATGTTTAATGTTTGTAGTTGAATATGGTGAATACCTTGCTAAAAATGATTGAAAACACAGAATCTGGTAGAATTTAAATTTACTCAATTAATAATTTTGGAATAATCAGTAACCATTAAATTATCATCAGTTGTTGTAAAGATCCATCTGGTTCATTAGTGAACTTTGAGGGAAAGAAATCTGCCATCCTTATCTTGCCTGGTCTACATGCAACTCCAAACTCTCAATTGCTCTCTGAAGTGGCCAAGCAAGCCAATCAGTTCAAGGGAATTAGGGATAGGCAACACATCTTGACTCTGTTAGCAACACCACAAATGGCTCTTACTTTAGCAATTTTGTGATTCTAAGGCATGCACACAACACTGCCTCCCATGTTTTCCACTTTTTAATGTTAGCTGGGAATGTCATTTCATTCTACCATAAGTAAATTGCACATGACTAAATTTCAAGTTCCAATTGATTCACTTGCTTTGCATTATAACTAAGTTACATCACAACTCAAGTAAATTCAAAATGGTCTAAGATAGCCTTTTGTATATGTCTCACATCACTCATTTTTTGTATACTTGGATCCCAGAACATATAAATTGGCATCATAAGTAGGCCATTCAGCCCTTCATGCCTGCTCTACCAATCAACAAAGTAATGGCTGATCTGACTGTGGCATTGACTCAACTTTCTGTCTACCCTTTGTCATTTGACTCCCTTAACACTCAAAAATCTATCTGACTCAGGCTTAATACTATAACCTACCTCCATTGGTCTATGGGAAAGAGAATTCCATAGATGTTTGGCCCTCGGAGACTAAAAGTCCTAAGTTTGTCTTATTCCTGCACTATGTCCA